GGTACCCAGCCCCCCCCCCCCCCCGCGCTGGAATCCAGGGAAAATTGCTCCCGTAATTAGCCCTCCGACGGCATATCTAGCACGGGGTCGTCTCTTTAATGTGGGGGAGCAAGCTGGAACCTGCCGCCGTGCGGTATGCAAGCTGCCTGGCAAGCCGGGCCCTTTGTCACCAGGGGCGTGCGAGGCGGCGAAACGGCTCCCTTTGATGGCCGATTCCCACGTAGGGAGGGGATGCCTGGGAGATGAAACGGCAAAGCGCCTTCCTTGTCGGGGGGCTTCCAGTGCTGCAGCCCTCTCCCCCGGTACCTTAAACCAGTGGTCCCCAATGTGGTGCCCGCGGGCGCCATGGCGCTCGCCAGACCATTTATGTGCGTCCGCGGAGCAATCTAGACTGGCCCTGCCCCTGGAAGTGTAGCAGGTGCCAGCCCCGGGCGCATGGACGGTCCCTGCCCTGGGGTCGCGGCACATGCTGGTGCCAGCCCCGGTGCGCGACGCATGCTTGGCCCCGCCTCCAGGCACGTAGCCCATGAGCGGCCCCACCCTCAGGCACCCACTGCCTTAACCAAACCAAAGAGGCCATGCTGGTCCCTGCTTAGGGGACCCCGTGCCCCAGACCAAGTGAGAGGCGATTCCTGGCCAGCGGCTGTTCCCAGGTAGATAGGAACGTACACAAGAGAGGAACAGGCGCAAGGCTGCTCTGAGGCTGTCCTGGCCAAACAAGGACCTTTCCACTCTGCGCCCCTGGCCCTGCGGGGGGTTCCCCAGAGAGTGAAATGGGGCAGGGCGCTGTACACGCTGCACAAAGCCGCCTCATTCGCCTCCGTCGAAACCCTGCTCGGCTGCCGAGGAACCGCTGCCCAGAACGCCGTCCTCAGCTGGCTGGCTGGCGTGTTTCCAATGCGCCTCACGCCAGGGCCTAGGCCTGGATCAGCAGTTCGGTCCTCACACCGAGAAAGGCGAGAAGAGTTCAGTTTGGGTCGAACCAGAACTGAATCGTTTGTGGGTCGCTCACCAAAACGCAACCTCCCCCGCCGTTTCATTTCAAGTCAAATGAAACTTCCCTTCGGCCACGTCCATTCTACACCTTTTCAATCGGCACAACTCGCATTTGGGTGCTTTTCATTTCGTTGGGTGTCATTTTCCAAGCTTTTCACTTTTTTTTGATTAGCTAAATTTGGAAACAAAAAAAAAGTCCCGAAACAAAACATTTTGAATATTCCAAAACGGGATTTTTTATCATGGGTCGGGGTTTTTTCCCCATATTCGCCACATTTGACCTAAATTCACATAGGCTACGTCTACACTTTTCCGTTAAAAGCATTTTCGGAAAAGCACGTCTAGATTGGCAGGATGCTTTTCCGCAAAAGCACTTTTTGTGGAAAAGCGTCCGTAGCCAATCTAGACGTGCTTTTCCGCAAAAAAGCTCCGATCGCCATTTTCACAATCAGGGCTTTTTTGTGGAAAAGCCCTTTTTCCGGAAAAGCGTTTGTGGCCAATGTAGATGCGCTTTTCCGGAAAGAGCCCCGATCACCATTTTCGCAATCAGGGCTTTTTTCCAGAAAAGACTTCGTCAGTGCTTTTCTGGAAATTCAAGCGGCCAGTGTAGACAGCTGGCAAGTTTTTCTGCAAAAGAACCTGCTTTTGCGGAAAAACTTGCCAGTCTAGACACAGCCATATGGTTCCAGTGCTCAGCTCTATGCAAATATGCACTTACACACAGACCACAGCTTCTCAGGGATGGAGAGAAGACTATTAAGGCCACGAGCCAGTTACATTGCTTAGAGGTGTGAAAAATCCACACCTTCTCCCCTGTGGAGACTGCTGGGCAAGCCCACCGAGGGGAAGAGCAAAGGGTGTAGACACGTCCATAGTTAGGTTGTTGTGCGCTGCCTTGTGTTAACCTAACTTTGTAGCGTAGACTTGGCTTCAGATTTACACTTTCCCCCAACAGCGCAATACAGGACATTAAGGGTATGTCTAAACTACACGGCTCCGTCGATGGAGCCATGTAGATTAGGCTGATTGGCAGAGGGAAATGAAGCCACAATTTAAATAATTGCAGCTTCATTTAAATTTAAATGGCTGCCCCGCTCTGCTGATCAGCTGTTTGTCGGCAGATCGGGGCAGTCTGGACGCTCCTCTGTCGACATGAAAGCCCTTTATCGACCTCCCCGGTAAACCTCATCCTACGAGGCATAACGGGGAGGTCGATAAAGGGCTTTCAGGTCGACGCGGGAGCGTCCAGACTCGCGCGCTGAGCCGACAAACAGCTGATCAGCTGTTTGTCAGCTCAGCGCGGCAGCCATTTAAATTTAAATGAAGCCGCGATTATTTAAATCGCGGCTTCATTTCCCTCTGCCGATCAGCCTAATCTACATGGCTCCATTGGCGGAGCCATGTAGTTTAGACACACCCCAAATGTGTTTCCTCCATTCCCTCATTTTATAAGCTGCCCAGTTGCTTGGACAAGATTAGCTCCTTCCAACCCCTGGTACCAGTGGACC